AAACACACCTGATTCAGCTCAACAGCTAATTAATAAGGCCTTCATGAACTGAATTCAGAGCATTAGACAAGGGTAAACACTAAACTCTGCAGCACTTTGACCTGAAAGGTGCCCAGTTTAACATGCCTTTTTGAGAGAAAATGGTCATGTAAAAATGAATCACAACTGTTTTTAGTCCATAAACCATCAGAAAGTGGATTTCAAAAAAGGATAAAATTAAGTTCATAAAAATGTAAATAAAATTTAAGAACCTTCATAACCCCCTGCCTCTATACTGTGCAAACCTCAATAATCATCTCTCACTTCTATATGACTAGCAGGGGTGAAAGCCTGATGGAGAACTATAGAAGGAATGTTTTTTTGTGAAGAAGCATCATAGACAGCAAAATCACGAAATGAACCTTAATCCAAGAAGTGAATACAGTGGTCATAAACACAAATTATCTTTTCCTCTCCAAACTCATTTTCTATTCTGTACTCACAAACATCAACCACAAACCTCATGTCATTTAGAGGTTCCAGGAAGATGCTATTTCCTGCTTTGTTTGCCACCCATTCAGTCCCAACTCAGAAGGTCAAACCCTACTGATATTGTCATTTTAAAAGTCCAAACCTATAAAATGTACAGGTACTATTTATATAGCCGCTTTATTAGCCACTTATATCTACACTCATTGTCCGGTAGATACACAGGTCCACTTTATATATAGGTGCACTTTGTAGTTCTAAAATATCCAGCCAACAGCATCCTGTGGCCAGAAGCTGACCACAGATGAAGAACTAGAGGATGACTAACACAAACTGCGCAGCAACAGATGAGCTATTGTCTCTGACTTTACATCTAGAAGGTAGGTGTGTGCAACAGTAAGTGTACAAAGTGTTTAAAAACTCCCACAACACTGCTGTGTCTGATCCTCTCATATCAGCGTAACACACACCAACTGCAGTGCTGAGAATGCCACACCACCAAAATTATACCTGCTCTGCAGTGGTCTATTGAAGAATGGGATAAAGAATTATTCAGAGAAACAGATGGCCTACAAAAGAACTACAAAGTGCACCTATATGGTAAGTGGACCTGATTAAATTGACAAATGAGCAATGAAAACTGTACTGTATGCACCTTTTTTATGTAAACATCATGGTATGGCATAGTTTGGTGCCCTGCATTTAAAATAAAGGGGTCACTGAAACATAAATAAAGCATAGGATGGCTTTTAATGTAAAAGGTTGAACAAAATAGAAAACAAAATAATTGATTATCCAAAAAAAAAACAGGTGGAGTTTCGTTGGAAGAGCTCAATAAATATAGATAGAAGATATGTGTACCTAATAAAAATGGCTAGTGAGTTGACAGTTACATGTGAGTCATTGCATGCTCCTGGTCACATTACATGTTTTGCTATTTTCTAAATTAACACAGTTAACACATCCTGAGGCTTGTGCACATTTAATATTTTATTTTTGTTTCATTAACACAATTTATGTTTCATCAAACTCAGCAAATAAATACAAGTTGTGCACTAAAATTGGTTTGTATTCTGTTAAGGATGTGTGAACTTATTTTCACTTAAAAAATCAACAAAACATGTAATTTGACCAGAAGTAGTCAAACTTTTGCATGTGACTGTATACATGACTATTTTGATATTTAAGTATCCATAAGAGTTAATAAAAAAAGTTCTGGCAGATGAAAATATACCATGAAAATTATGCTAACCTGTATTATAACCTTGTAACAGGCTGAATGCAGTTCTTGCTCATTGTGATAAACTGATGTGTAACATATTATGTTATAATATTAAACAGAGCTGCATGCTGTGGTAGCACTGATCTCACAAATATGGCTATTTGGAGGTACTTGAAATAGAAATTAGCAAATTAGAAATTACAATCAATTAAAAATGATTGTAATATAATAACCATATAATTACTGACTGGGTTACAGTGTAATTTTACTTACTAATTCATAATGCCAACTATTATCTGCTAAAACAGCATGTAACACTGTTAACACCCAGTGTTTGCCCACATTCAATTGGTTGGAAGCCAAAGTATCGCCAAACTGCCGCTCAGGCTCATCCGTTTTACTGTCTTTGGACAGTTGATCTCATTTAAATGAGTTTCTTTGTTTCATTTGCATCAACCCCATCATTGTTTTCCAGACTGAAAGTCTTTGTTATAATCTTTCAGAGCTGCGTTCACAGTATGTTTATGTGTAGATAATTCGTTGGCGATGTTCTGTTTGTATAGGTAATAATTAAGTGTAATCTTTTCTGTTGTGTACATATTTTTAACTAAGCATACACTGTTAGCAAAAACGGTTATGCCATACTATAAAAACACAGAAACAGTCAAGGATAATGCAAAAAAAAGTCAAAGCCTTATTTCCACTGTGGTCCTTGAGAACTGATAGTTGTTTAGTCTGAGACTTTTACAGTGCTGCATATTCTGGGCTTTATGCTCTCTGAATGGTTTATTGCCATTGTAACTGCATTTGTGTCCCTGTCCATTAACAAATAAACCACAGTCAACAAATATTTGCATCTGACGGGAACACATCCACAGCAGTTTGATTTCCCTGAACTGAAAATGATTTTTTTTCTCTTCTTCTTCTTCCAACATAGGCACTCAGTGCTACTGCCGTCCTACAAAACCGCCGTCCTATGCCTACTCACATAATGACTGTGGGTTTTACAAGGCCAAATGGCAATTCCCTGTGTGTGTTCTCTTCTTGGTCATTGACCTTTTTACTGACTGGTCCAAAAGGGCAGACCATTTTGGCAAGCCACCATAAAGCCTAATATACTATAGAACCTAATACAGTCTTACTTAATGTTAAGAAATCAATTGACCTCTTGAACCCAGGCATATTATTTAGTAACTACTATGAAACTAACACGTGAGTGATGCAGTTATGAGAGTGGAAGCGAGTCCGTTAGAGTTTAAAGGGTTAACCATCAAACAGTCTGGACAGCATTATTCTGTTCTATAATGAAAAAAATTTCAGTGACAGGTTTTGCCACATTGTAGAAATGTATATTTACATGCGTCTATTTTACATACATTTAATACACAGTTCATTTTAGAGTATGCAGTCTTTTGCTGTTACAAAGCCAATTGTTCTTCACTCATAGTGATTCCCGACTGCAGTTTAATGACCCCACCTGCTTCTATCTGTTGAAACTGCCAGCTCTTGTTTGTACAGCACACTTGTGGCTGAACGATTAGGGCAGAATATTGTAGCGTCGGTGCAGAAGAAGACCGGCAGTCTCCCATTTTCACTTCAGGAAGATTTAGTGAAACTGCAGGCACAGAAGGGAACTACACTTACGGGGGGAAATGAGGACAGATCATCAAAGGCAACCGTAACACTTCTAGCACGCTAAATAGCTAAAAAAGGGACATGATTTACCGCAAACAAAACATTCATACATCTGAACTTTAAAACAAGAACATGTAACTCATTAAATGTAACTAAACAAAGGATGTGGAGAGGCGTACATTCTGGGAGTCCTCCACACATTCCTCTTTGCTGTCCCAATTGGCCCAAACCGTAAGTCCAGTGGTGGTGCCACAATATCAAATTGCAATTTTTCTGACCAATGTTGTGACTGCGACTTACATTGTGATTTCTTTCTGTAAATTGAGGTCCAGATCTGTTTTTGTGGCCAAAAAGACCAACATATCCACTTTTTCTGGCTTGAGGAATGAATTCTGAGTTTTGTGAGTCAGACTGCCAGTTAGTTGTGGTTGCACGTGGGTGTTTGGTTGCTTCTGATTGGTCTAACTCATCTACAAGCAGTTCACAAGTTCACAGTGTCATTAGGTTCAATTTCTCACCTTAAGCTTCTTACATCAACAATAAGGATGTTGTGAGCTATAGTAAAAACTGCAGCTCTTGTGGTTTAAAAATTGCAATTTTGATGTAAAACTGATTTATCTGCCAGCCCTAATAGTAAGCAGTATTGGGATCTCACTGGAGTGGACTCTATGAGATAGTAGGCTGACCATACTGGACATTTCTTTTAGCTTCCTTAGCAGCCCCTGTTATGGCCATAAAAATAAACAACGCTGAATCTAAGAAGTCATCTAATATCCTGTGCCTTCAATTCGTGGAAATGAGGAAGGAACTGCCTGTGTGTCCATTCATTTGTCAGTAAGAAATCAACATATTTATCAGTAAGATCACAGCTTAACCACCACACAGAGCTAGGCTGTTTTGCCTTAACCGTCAGTCATGTGAGAAATTTGTTAATATGATTTATGCTGTATGAATGTGTGTAGCTTACGTGTTGGCCGTCATAGTTCATGACTAAAGAAAAGTCTGGGTTTGTTAACCAAAAAAACCCCACTATTTCTAGTGTGTTTCATATGCCTACAGAGATCAACAGTACTACCTTCTGGCTTCTATGCTGATAAGAATTTTTACAGTTTTCCTGTTAAACCTTTAAATTACTGTTACCACAGGTAAAGGTTTACCAGAGGTAAACAGCTGTACATCACCCTGTTGTAAGACAGCACTGTAAGACTGCTGTATGTAGGTGAAAGGTTTTTAGATTTTACTGTATTATATATTTTTTTAGTTTCTTATATTATTACTACGGGTATTTTCGTACGGGTCTGTGTTAGACAGTCGTCACAGTCCTTTAAGGACAGAAATCGATCAGGGCAAACCTCACGTTACCTGTCAATACCAGCACACTTTGACTGTATTAAAGTTGTGATGACGTCGACGCTGCCAGTAATTCAGATGACTTCCAGCCGAGCTGTTCCGGGAACACGCGCGGTGCCCCCTCTGCTGCACACGCTCCACGAACGTCAGCCCGGGGGGAGGAAGCGAGAGTCGGAACGCTCAACCAACCCAGGCCAATAAACAACGGGCGCGGACAAGCTCGCTGGGCGCCGATCCCGCCCCTACTGCCGTTCCGGCGCGCTGATTGGACAATATTTCACCGTCGCGCCGCTATTCGCCGAACGCTCGTCAATCAAGGCGAAGTTCGAGCCGTACTGCAACTCCTTCAGACAGGCTGCTGTGGACTAACATTTTTTGGCTCGTAACAGAAAGTTGGGATAAGTCTGGGCGTCGAACACGTCTGGTTTGCCTCTTTTGTTTGATATTTACAGTATTTGTAAAGATTTTTTTCACTGTGCCTGTTTCATTTAGCGGCGGGTCGTAGACTTTTGTCAGTTTTTCTCTGAAATCTCGAACCGCGTACACAGAGGGTAAGTAAGGCACCCTATGAACGTCCCCACTTTGACGCGTTCCTGTGAATGTGCTTTGTTATTGCTTTTTCAGGTCGTTGCCAGCGAACTATAAGTTACCAGTTACATAACCTACAGAGTTCTGTCATGTTCCTTTATGTTAAAACGTCAAAAAATGTGCTCTAGTGGAGCCAGGCTCAGGGTAAGACCGCAGAACTGATCCGAAAGTTGGCTAATGTTGTCGGGCTGCGCTTCTGAGAACACGATGCTGTGTGAGCACGGAAATAAAAGCCGTCTGAGCCCACGGGTTTCGTCCGATCCGTTACGTTTAGCGGCGGGAATGCCCCGTCCGGAGCATGCTTCTGCTTCACCTGCCCTAAAGCCTTGAATCCCAACAGCTTCTGTACAAGGACACGTTTAAACAGCTTTTCTCTTTACTTTTTGCGCTGTCAACACGTTGAATGTTCGGTTTCGTCAGTTATACATCAGAGCGTTAACGTTAACATAACGCTATAGGCCTGGCCATGGTCAGTGTGGCTTTTTTTCCTCGCCCAAGAAGCTGTAACCACTTCTGCCCTTGGTGACAGAATATTTACATTTAGAAAACAAAAACTTTATTATCCACGTTACGCAAATGTGCGAAAACACACGTGGCTTGTTTTTTTGTTTGTAGCCCAGGGCGTGCTGCTGTAACGGGTTTCACATTTGCATAACAGATATACCTCTAAATATCGATCTGGATGGCTTGATTTCTCTCTTTCTCGCCTCTCGCCTCTCGGGGTAGTCCCTTGCTCCCGTGACGTCATCCCTTCCAGTATTCGGATGGAGGGAATCCTCTCGTTTCGTTTCTGACTTTTGTCTGCTTTAAAGTGTTTGTGTGAGTGATATTAGTGATAATTTTGGGCGAGGTGGGTTTCTTAACTCTACATGAACTTACTGTTTCCCTGTCCTGCTCCTGCAGCCCTGCACTGCACACTGTAATGTTACCCATAGGGTACCACAGTTTGCACGCTGGGTTAAAGCAGTGGTTCACTGAAAAATATAATGTTCCCAGTTTCCACCTGACCCCAAACGTAGTTGATCAGCCAAGACAAATCTAAGGTCCCAAGTTGGCCTCTTTACTTTTCCACTGAAGCTACAAGGTTAGTGGAGCTAGCAAGTAATGGAAGCCAAATCATACTACTGTAATATATGCCTGGTAGCACCTGTGCAGAACTAAAGAAGCAAACGTCATACGCCAAACATGTCTTGGCTGATCAAGTACGTTTGGTGTCACTGTGTAAATTTGATTTCTCAGTGAACCATTCCTTTAACCCAGTATAAACAGTAAGAACGGGATTCCCGGGTAGTGGGCCGGGATTTTACTGACTTTGGTGCCTACTGTAAAGGTCAGGAATTGCCAAGTTGGCAAAACATTTCCTCACCAGGGACTTACAGGCTTTTTACAGTGTTGAGCAGTAATACACCTTGAGCTAAAAAGTGTATATTCTTAGGCCACATCTACTGTTGAGGCCACTGAGCATGATAAAAGCTTTAAGATGTTTTCATTGTTTTTCATGCAGTTGCTGTATAATAAGCCTCAGGATGTTATAAGATTGGAATTCAAAGGGGTAAGACAGGTTCCCATATTTTTCAGTCCCTTTTTTAGAACTGTTGACAGATGGACTTGTCCACATACTTTAGTTGTTCCTCATTTCTATGACAAAAGTGTTATCTGTGCTAGTTAGTAAAGGTTTTATTACCATAGACACCGCCTAACGTTTAAAAGCCCATGGGAGTATTATAGCAGCTTAGGGGACTGTTTTTAACTAATGATTCTCAGAAGCCTGTTGTCATGATTACTCAGGGTTAATGTATAGAACAGGGGGACATCAGGAGCAAGACCAGGAAATAGTGACCTACATCCATCTAGCCTAGGTGTAGCCCAGGGAACCTAGATTCAGCACACGTTACTGTGACAGCAGTTGTAAAATTAAGTCCAAAGATTAGTTTGCGAAATGTCTGAAAGTGCACGTGAGCAACTAGTAATATAAGAACAGAAACAGAACTGAGGAGCGCAGCAGTCTAACACAAGAGAACAGAACTGTAATACCTGAACAGTAATACAGCTGTACAGTGGTGGGAAGTATTAAAACAGAGCAGTAATATGACAAAACACAAAATGACTACAGCACAATAGAGTAATACGAGGCAGCACTATACTATTAGAGATGGCATATTGGTATCGGGCTCATATCAGCCGAAAAAAAGCTGGATGGGATATTGGGGGGAAAAAAAATCCAATCCAGTCCTTTAGCAAGTCTGAAACAGCGCTCACTCACACTGTGTGATGTGATGTTGTTACCTGTGTATTTGTTCCTGTGATGTAGCAGAGTGATTGAATAGTTTGGGCATGATAGTCTCCTTTCAGATTCTCATCTTAAGTGCTTCAATCAAAAAATAGCTCATTTTAAAGCTTAGTAAGTTTTTAAAATATCAGATCAGCGATGGCCGGTACTGGTTTTGATATCGGTGTTGGAAAAAGAAGTGTGTTTTGTGTCCCGTCTATATGGTAGTACATCGGAACACAAAATAACAGCAATACAGCAGAGCAGTAATACCACAGAACAGTACAGCAATACAATAAAAACTCAAGAAAATAAGTGCAGTACAACAGAACAGTAATACAAAAGATCACAAAATAACTGCAGTACAGTAGAACAGTAGTACCAGAGAACAGTACAGTAGCCCAAAAGCCGATCCAATGAACGCAATACAACAAAATAGTAACACCAGTGAACAGTGCAGCAGTTAGAACAGGACACAGACGGACTGCAGTACAACAGTACCAGTGGTTCCAGTGCTACTACCACAATACCACAGTATGGAAATAGTAGATTGCTGGAGTTCATTTTAGATTCATTTTCTTGTTATGTAATATTCTTTAGCCAGTTTTGATCATGAGCGATGCAGTTTGCCTTTCATGCGTATGATCTTTTGTTTTTCACTATGAGGAAATGCTTACGGGAATAATCTGAACCAGAAAACTTCCTTGCAAAAATTCCTGGAATTACAAAACCCAACAGGCCACGTGTGCCAGAAAACATCCTGTTTAGTTTGTCTTTGTGTATGGTGACAAAGATGAGTCTGGATGTTAAGTAAGCATTTGAATCAAGTAAATTCAGTGTATTAGTTCAGTCCTTTATGGACTTTTTGTCAAGTGCAGGAACAGGGGAAAGTCCTCATGACCAGGATTTCTAACCTCAAGCTTCTGTTGAAGTTCAGATGAATTGCTCAATCTGACATTAGGTTTGTTAAAAAAATTGGAAAGCAAAAGTTTGGGCACCCCTGGTCAGGTTATCTTGTCAATGTTTTGTTGATTTTATGTGAAAATAAATACACTACAAATCCTCTACAGAGAACACCTTTCTGCACATTTAAAATCACAATTACTGTTTATATGCTGAATTTAATATATTGGGAAAAAACATAAAATGTGGCCTGTGCAAAAGTAATGGCACATTTTATGTTTTATTTTTTCCAATGTTTTCAATATGTCAAAATATATGAAAATACATTAGAATTGTGCGCTGCAGTTTGCAGAAAAATGCTATATTTATGTTTGTTCCCTGTAAAGAATGTGTACTTCTTTTGCTTAGAAAATTAACAAAACATGTAATTTGACCAGGGATGTTCAAGCTTTTGCATAAGACTGTATATCGACACTGTCATATCAGACCATTCTTAACTTTAATGTACTTCAATGTAACAAGTTTTACCTTTGGACCATTTTTGTTTGTACATTCATCATGAAACGTGCACACAGTATAAAGCACAGCTGGCGTCCTCAAATTAAGTAAAAATGAAAGAAAGGTTTTGATATGACAGTAACAGTGTGCTTTGTTGTGCTTTGTTTTCTCTTGCCAGCTTTCCCAGGTGTTTTTCATTGTACGCTGAAGCTTTGTGAAGAGACTGAGTGTGGTGCAGTGACTTAGTCTGGATTGGCACGGAATTGTGCAGCTTTGAAAATCTCATCCTCAGCTAGCCTCTGATGAGTTTTTGGAATTATTCTGTTTAAAAGAGCTTGTGTCTTACATTTTCTTCAGTTTTATCTGGTCTACATAGTAGGACATTTGTGTAAATACCAACAACAGTCATCTTTTATTTTAGATGGCCATTTTGTCCATCCTCTCTTTATCCTTCAGAATCAAACAGGCTGTTACTGTGTCTTTGAGATCGATATGTGTAAATTAGCTCCTTTCTGATTGGCTGACCTCTATTGTGTATCATTCACGCTCCTCATAACTTTAGTGTGAGGGAACAAGCTGTTCAGAATGGTGTATGGACTGTGGAGTGAATGGCACATTTTGAAACTTTTACCGTGTTAACATCAACCCTTTAGCACTGGCAGCACAATAAGAGGAACCAAAACAGAAATCCAGTTAATGGCTCTTTAGAACCAAGCTTCCTCAGTGAACAGTTGTGTATGTTGAATCTTGAGGCTGCCAGTTTTTTTGCTGTGTACAGATTTACACAACTTCAGGCTGCCATCAATTAGGGTGCAGTGGTTCTTATGTAAGATCCTGCTGTAAGTCTTCAGTGTTTTGGTATTGTTTAGACTTGCTTTTCACTGATAACCTGCAGTTTGAAGTTTGAAACTATGGATGCACCAATACTGATGGTAGACTGATGCACATATTTTTCATGTACAAATCTGATGATGCCAAGGCATAAACATTTATAAAATGTAGAAATTGGGATTATAACAGCCTGGATTAGCGTTACGTACATTTCTGTAGGTTTCTGTATTTCTCTAGGGGTGCAAATGCAATAAACTGAATAAAGTAAAGATGTTTCAGCACAGTAACCAGCACTGTCTAAACAGTCTGCTCGTCCAGAGTACAGCAAGTACATCATGAAATCAGTTTGAAGTATCGGTCAAATAACATCTGACCAATGCTGATCATTTTCTCTAAAGCAGTTTTCTACTGATTCAGATGTTTCTGGTTTCATTTTGCCTTCCTATTTGAAACCTCTGTTAT